CCACAGGCACTCTTGGCCCTTTCCCGCCTCTCCTGCCTTGTGATCCCAGAAAAGGGAGCCCTCTGTTACATAAGCTCTTCAGTTGTCAGGCAGGGTGTTAGTAAAATGCCAAGAGTGATGGCCTGGCTCATAAATACAACAAAATGCATACAAAACATGATTGAAAATACTGTGTATGTTGAAATTTTAAAAAATTATTACAATACAAACATTGCCATGAATCTCCCTCAAAATAACTTCTCCTCACTTCAAACACACCTACCCCATCCTTCTGGCCACTTTCTGAAGCAGTTCTGGAACCCCCTCTTTTGTGAGTGTCTTTACTTGTGCTAGCCTGGGTGTCTCCATGTCCTGAATCCATTCAAACTCCCAACCTTTCATCGCCATTTTGACTTTGGAGAAGAGCCAGAAGTGGGACAGTGCCAGATCCAGTGACTCAGGTAGATGGGGATACACTGTCATGTTTTAGGAGCCTTTCTGTTGGATGGCATTGGGCAGCAGCATTCACTGCATTTCTGAACACATAAAGACACTCATGAAAGAGAATGTCCAGAACTGCTTCGAGAGTCGCAAGGATGGTGGTATGTTTAAAGTGAGAAGGAGTACTTTGAGGGGAATTCATGGCAACCTGTCTTTTACTGAAAGAACTTTTTAAATACATACTGTATTTTTTTATTACCCCTTATATTTGGGTTTATTTCGATTACTCTAGCACCTGGAACCAGGATGGGTGTGATTGCTGGGGTACCCCTCTTTCCACTCTCATTCCAAGGTTCGATCTTTTACCAAAGTGAGGATGTGATCAGGTAGTCATTGTCTCTCGTTTGAGAACCTTTCTTTAGATAGGGCAATGAAAAAGTACCCTGGTGAGACATAAGCAGTTTGGGAAAACCCATAGTCCACACATGCTCCCCTGCGCCATCTTGGTAAACCAGAAGTCCTCTATCCTGGAGGGAAGCTGCAGGCAAGGCTAGGGGCACATTCACAAGGCCCCATCTGGTGTGGTTGGCACACTGGCCATGCCACCTCTCTCTTAACTTACTCAGCCACAGCCAGGGAAGCCTTAAGGTGGAGGAAGGATGTGGGAACAAGAGGCAAGTGTGAGCTGAGCGCCCAGAGCTGTGGGAGGGTGGGCGTGGAGAGACCCAGGATGTGGCTTTATTAATGTCTCCCTGGAATCTAAAAAACATATATAACAATAGCCTTTAGACAGGGTTAACTAGGAATTCTATGCAGTTTCTGGCTTACTTGCTGTGTTCACTGCTGGTGGTATGAGGGCCCCACTACAGTGCTCACGTTTTCCTTTGTAGGGGCCAGGGTGGGGAGGCACAGGGACAGCACTCTGTGCCTTCTGCAGCCCCTGTCCTGCACGCCTTCGGCTCTGTCCTCATAGATCTAAGTCTCTCTTGCATTCTCTCTGTTGCATGACCTGTTCCTGTTGTAGCACATGTACACCTGTCCTGGTCTCTGCTACCTGCCCTCATCTCCTGGATGTTCTGTATCATGGATCCCGGTAGTTCCTGTGCCTGCTCTGAGCACTGCAGCACCAACCTTTCCTCTCCTCTGCTTCTTTCCTGTTGGCTGATTGACACAGTCAAGTCCCTTGCACACACTGTGGGGGTGGGGGAAGGGAGAGGAGGAAGGAAAGAGAAGAGAGCAACAAGGAAAAGGAAGACAAAGGAAAAGGAGAAGAGGAGGAGGGAAAAAAGAAAAGGAGGAAGATGAAGAGTAGAAGGGAGGAGGAGGAAGGGAAGGGGGAGGGGGAGGAGACAACTGTAAGAAAAATTCAGCCTTTCCACCTCCCTCCCTGTCCTTGACCTACTATTTCTTCTCTTTCATTAGGAAATAACATATGTCATCCCCTCTGAGGCACACATCTCTCCTCATTGGTGACTACTGAGATTGTGATGTATCTCCTAGAGCATAAAAGCATCGTGCCATGGTTTAACTGGCTGGGCTTTTCCTTCATAGTAGGAGCATGGAGAAGTAACCTGCATCTCCCTACGGCTGGCATCTTGAGTGCTATGAAATGTGGCAGGCTGCTAGCAAGAGACCACTAAGTTCCCATTGTCCTCCTTTCTCAACTCCCTCCTCTCTTCTTCACTCATCTTTCTCAATGTCCATTGCCTGTCTCTTGGTCCCTGAGATTGGGGTTCCTCAGTCTTCTTTCCATCCTACTCCTATGTCCAGCAATGGTGCTCTTACCCTTCCCTATCACCTGAAGACCAAAGCCTCCCAAGTCCAGAATCCCTCCCTGGGTCCCTGCCTGCAGTACATCTGTGTATTTACATTCCATAAAGTGGAGTTTTCAATCCAGAGGGAATTTTTCCTTAGTGGACATTCGGCAGTAGCTGGAGATGTTTTGGGCATCATAACCTGGAGGGATGCCAGCCATCTCTAGAGTATTGACTATCCTAGAGTACACACAGTAGGGTCCTAAACAAACAGCCACCCCAAAATGCCAATACTACCAAGTCTAAGGGTCCCTGCAGCAAGCACTTCTGACAGGCCATGTCTGGAGCTGAACTTTGCCTTGAACGTCCTCTGTCACTACATGCCACCTTTGTGTTTGTATGTCTGTCTGTCCCCAGCGGGGAGGGGCTGACAGCACACTGTGTTTTCTTCATCTTCTATCTCCAGTCATAAAGAAATGTGATGGGATAAGATATGGCAGAATGGGTGGATTAAGGGATCCTGTCAGCACTGTTTGTTCCACAGCCCAGATACTCCAGAAACCATCATAACCTACCAGTAGCTTAGTGCTGGGAAAGATGGAGGTGCAGGAGGTGAAGACTCAGAGGGGAGAAAATCAGTAAGACCTGAGATCCCATACTTCTGTTGGGTGACTATGGCCAAAAATGTTCGGAAAGAAAACAAAACCATTTAGATTCTATTATTATTTCTAAAAACTGTAAAAGAGTTTGACTACCTAGACAGAGAAGGCATAAACAAGATCTGTGTGGGTAAAATTGAATTTTGAAAAATAAAACTAATATTAAAGGAAAGATGAGCCCAAGTTGTGTTTGGAGTTGGACATATGCTCTGAAGTTACACTGAAGGAGAAACTGCAGTCAATCAGCCCATGAATCAATCAATAAATGGCTAGAAAACCTTAGAGGGAGAAAAGAGGAATATTTAGTAGTGGGTCATTTTAACCTTCTATTATATTATGTTTTTGAATTCCAAAAATTACTAAAAAATTGATTTTTTATGAACTGTCAGATACACTGCAGCTTTCTCGTTGTTTCTTTCCCCTTTCCACCACCAGAGGCATTTTCTAAAGCAAAGCCATGAGCCATACCCACCACCAGCTCAAGGGGATTAAAGGCATCTACATTCTATGCCTCATTCCTGGGGACATCCGTTATTCCGCTTTTCTTTTTAGTAGCTTCATTTCTCTTGATTTCTTTCAGCTTGACACACTATTAGACAAGCATCTTTGGGAACTGACAATTTATACTTGAGGCAGCATATAAATTTGTATTTTCTTATTTTTTTCTGAATTCATTTAGACACCTTCCATGAGGGATCTTGGTGTGAAAACAAAGCATTCTGGATGGATAGGAGGAAATTCTTTCCCGAGTCAGGAAAGCATTCTTATGATTGGAGGAACCCTGTGAGGTGACAGGAAAGCAAGCATTTGTTGTGCATAGGACATTAAGGCCTCCAGAAGAAGGGAGCAGATGCACCTGTGTGCACCTGCATGTGCACGTGTGCATGTGTTCCTGCACAAGGGCCCCACCTCTCCTGTGACTCTGAGATGCCCAGACTGGACCCTCACCCTTCTCAGCCACAACATCCACCTAAGAAGGTGGCTCCAAAGATGAGATGTGTTGACAAAGAGGAAAAGAAAGGAACCTGGTCCGGAGTCATTTATGATGTTCTAAATAACACTGCAAGGTAACATGGCATGATCCTTAATTCTGGTATGTCAACTTCATTGGATTAAGAAATGCTGAGTAGGTTAGTAAAGCATGCTCCTTGGTGTGCCTGGGTGTCATTGAGGTATGGCCTTAGGGTATAGTCTGGTCCCTTGCTCCTTCCTTTCTGGCACTGTTCCTCACTGCTTCTTGGTCACCATGAACTAAGCTTCTTTGCTCTACCACACTCTTCTGACATGTTTCTGTCTTGGAGCCATGGACTGAATCACCTGAAACCATGAGCCAAATTAAACCTCTCCTCCTTTACACTGTGAGTGTCCAATATTGTGTCAAGCAATGGGAAAAGTGACTAACATACACAGAAAAGCAAACAAAACAACTAATATTTCTGACCTAGGTGAGGTAGTTGGTTGATCATTAAACACAACATTAAAGTAAGTCTTTATCACAGATTTTCTTCCAGTGTTCTAGGTAGGTTATCTGTAAAGTGACAGGTTAATATACATGAAAGGTTCTTAGGTTGTTAGATCTTAAACTCTGTGACTACCTTCTTATTAGTTTGAAAAAGGGATGAAAATAACAATAATCAGAGCCAGGTGTGGTTGCACATACTTGTGCACTCCAGCACTCAGGAAGCTGAGGAACCAGTATCACCAAGATCGAGGCCAACCCAGGCTCTATCTAAGATCAAGGCCACTGGGAAACACAGGAAGACACACACACAGAGAGGGGGAGGGAGGGAGAGAGAGACAGAGAGAGAGAGAGAGACACGAACATGCAGGAATCCCCTAGTTAAATCCTCAGTACTGCCTCCAAAACAAAAGTAATAATAAAAAGCAACCCCAAAACAAAAAGACAGAGGATAATGACTATTACAATGGCACACCCCTACCTTCTTGCATGTGTGAAGTACACATCTCACAATACCACAAGTGCTGCATCTTAGCAGCTTAGTCTCCATCTGGGGGAGGTGGAACCCAGGTCCCAGGGCAAAACTCCCCAGTTTGCATGAGGGGGGCTATGGACCCAAATATAGGCCTTGGACTTTTCCAAAGAAAATACTTTCTCTGTCCAGCTACGAATTAAATACACAATCCAAGTGAAATTTCAGTACAAAGAGTTTTTATTGACATTGTAAGAAACATTGTTTTTCTTTCTTCTTTGTTACAAAAGGACTAAGTGGTTCTGAAAGCCAAAGTCAAGTTCACGTGTGTCTGGGCTGCAGCTCCCCAGCGTGGAGCTGGGCACACAGCATCGGGGGCTGCAGGTTTCTCCAAGGAAGGTCCGGCCTGGTCACATCCAAACACTATGCCTACAATACTTAAATGTATTTACATGTGTTTCTTTTTAAAAAGGATTACACATTTTTTTTTTTAATCTAAAAAAGGTAAAAAAAAGGAACTTTATTTTATCTTACACATTTGCAGGATCCACAAGGGTAGCTTGTCAGAAAAGAACATCCTCCTATCAGTTCAAAGCAACACAGGAAACCAGGATACGGACAGCTCAGATGGCTCCGATCCTGCACGCCCTCCCTCTCCTCGCCAGACGCCAGGCACACGGCCTGCAAGTGTCGGCTGGGTGACACCAACTGGTCCCGCTCATTGACAAGATTAACATAAAATAAGGCACATATATCGCAAGAATCAAAACTCAGTGGCTCAAGATGACGAGCCAATGTGTGAGGGGCAGGGGGTGGTTTAATCCATTCTTTATAAAAATAAAAATGGCTGCAAAGATAAAAACAAGTTTAACAGATGTTAAACAAGAGTACCATGTATGAGCCTGCATCTTTTATTAAAGAGTAAACAGTGACCTTAGTGAGTCAGTGCTATGTAGTTTCCTAAATGCATAGGTCAGAGAACTGGAGAGAAGGCTGGAGGCCATGGGTGGGTCTCATGATAGGAGGCAGCAGGTGTACAGAGATCCCATGTCCCCATGGGTACTCCTAAGTGACCTCAAAAGACTTTACTTCCAATGCATGGCCATGCAGATCGCTGAAATCCAGGGAAAGTTCACTTTCTTCTTCCCTCCCTCCTTTCTTGTTTCCTTCTGAAATGTCCACATTGAGAAAAGGCAGTATCGAGTTGAAAAGTGTCTCCTGCAATCCAAAGGGCAGCAGCAAGGTAAACAAGGATGAGAAAGAAAAATTAAAGAAAGAGACAAACCTGGAGGATAACCTGAAACCAGAGGGGAAAACCCAGGGTAAGAAAGAGCTTGGGCCAAATCCAACAGCATGTGAGAGCCAGGAGCTCGAGATACTTGGGACAATGACATTCAGGGGTGCAGGGCTGATACTATGGAGAGGTGACATGTTTTGAAGAAGAGACGAAAAGTCTTGCTTTTTAGATGAAAAGTGGTAGAGATTCTACTCTCAGGAGCTCAGATCAGTGCTGCCTTTTGCTTGTGAACTATTCCAAATGGGTTACATCCTTTGATTTAAAAGGGGCTCCCTGGGGAAGACGGCAGGGTGCAGAGGAAGATTCGCAGAGTAACTCTGCTGGAGCCAGGAGAATCGAGTTGAAAGCAAACCTCACAGTCTTAGCCACAGAGTCCTGCATGGCAACTTTACTTCCATGCTGCGATTCTTGGCTCAAACTGGAGAAAGTAAACATGAGAAAAATGGGCTGCTGCTAGTAGTCTTTCTGTAGCACTTTCTTTCACTTGACTTTTGTCTACTAGTAAATTAAACGGTGGGAATTAAGGGGGAAAAACCCACACAACTGGATCATGAATCACTGGATAAATTGAACTCCAAGGATTAACAGGGGTTGAATACTGCATATAGTTTGAGTATTAATACTTTAATAGTTTACACATGTTTAAAGTAGTGTGCTGGATAATCCATGTACTCTTTGTGCACACACAGCATGGCTTTCGTGTGTATTAACTGCACATGGGAAGTAGCTGTACTTCTTGAATCTTTAAATGTTTCCACCTAAAACAGAAGCACAGATACCAGTCCATATTAAGAACTGTGTGTAACACTGAACTCCTAAATGCATGCAGAGCTCAGTGGATAGAATGTAAACAATGGTACCTGCACAGCTACTAAATATCTTCCTTCCTGTTCTTAAATGCTAGAATTGGTTGAACCGATTTAGTCTCAATATCAATGTATATGAGCTTTTCCTTTTACAACTAAGTTTTAAAGATCCCTTAAAATAAGCCACTTAGAATAGACAGGCTCCTTCACGATACTGGAATTAATAAACATTAATGTATAGCCAGTTGTGGGGTTGTTTAAATACCTATAGAGAGAGAGCTACAGATAATCAATTCTCAGTTATTGAGGTCAGATGGGAAAGAGATGAAACTAATCAATACAGCCAACCCACAAATATTCCCCAAACTAATTCTACCCAGTTGCTTCAATCTATCATCTATCTAACTTCTTAGTAGAACAGATAAAAGTAGCAACATGACTGTCACCAACTGCCTGTCCCCCCTCATTGCAGTGCTAAGTAGCCCCAAATATTCATCAAGGTACAGAATGAAGGAAGAGAGATAACTGAGAACTGATTTTATCGACAAACCCACCCAAAGCACACTTACAGACACGAAGAACTGAAAACACCAAGAATGAGCTAAGGATTTCATTTGCAAGAGCCCCAACTGTCCACTTCTGTGCCACTGTCGAGAGTACGCCCTGAATTACACTGCGGATGGGAGCACATAAAATCCATCTGTCCATCCTGAAACGATTCTCAAACTCACTATCCATATTCTGATTCTTGTGCCCAATGTGGGAATTCAAAACACACACACACACACACACACACACACACACCCAAGACATTGAGCATATGTAAAGGAAAATTACTAAAAGCCTGGACATGTAACCCTGTGGTCACAAGCACAACTCCTAGTTCCTTGGAGTAATAGAGAACCGTGTCAAACCCTTTCAAATTTGACCTCTCTTCTAAAAGAAAGAACCTGCACATAATGCATTTATATAGGTTTACTAAAAAAAGGGTGGGTTTACAGTTAAAAAAAGAAAAGAGGGTGGTTTTAGTGTAACAATACTGATTCAAAACTGAAATGGAAGACAGTTTCTCCCTAGAATACCTTAGGGGTTTTCAGAGTCCTTTTGCATAAAAGGAATATACTTGAAACACATCCCAGTTAAGTGAGATGAGATTGCTAAAATACATACAGAACTAAAAAAAAAAAAAGCCACACACATAAAAACCCAGCCAAAATGAAGTCAGTTCAATCTTTCAACTCCTACAGCTTTACATCTGTTTGCAGTCCTTCTTGCCTAATGCCTATTGCATAACCGCAAGGAATTTGCTTTCTTCCGCAAGGGAGGTCAGCAAAGAGCTCATGTCCCCGATCGCCATGTTGGTGGTGCTCACTGGCAGAGCTGGGAACGGGAGGGAGGCTCGAGGCGTGGTGAGGCGGGAGGAGCTATGGGAAAGGTTCTGAATGATACTCGGGCTCAGGGCCCCTGACATCAGGCTGGCGTGGTCCCCGTCATCTATGATGGCATCGAAATCGATCTGCACCCCTTCAAGGTCATGGCTGTCGAGGCTGTCCACGGTACTTGTCACCTGGTTAGCACCTGGGGAGAGTAACTCAGAGTTTTCGGCACCGGCCTCCTGTAGCAGGCAGCTGGCCCCAGACATGGAGAACGAGCCAGCTTTCGTGTCTTGCAGACTGAAGCCCATGGTTTGGTCATAGAACTGACCAGAGTAATTCTGCACATTTGCACAGAGCTGCGAGGGCTGCCCAGGCATCTCTGTCTTGATGCCGTTCACCCTGCAGGTCTGACTCCTGTCACTGAGTTGTCCTTGCTGCAGTGTGAGGCTGGCCCTTGGCACAGCCTGCCGCCGGCTGCCCCCATAGCCGGCACAGGGCTGGTAGCCCCTGACCCCTACCAGGCCTGACGGCTGGCAGCTGACGCCATGGGTCCCGGGCAGGCAGCCCTCTGGCCCTTGGTAGGAGCTGATGTGTGAGGTAGCACTGACCTGCTGGAGCACCTGCTGCCCGGCGCGGCCTGCCCCCTGGTGCTGCTGCACGCCATCCCCAAGGAGCTGGTGAGGGAGGCAGCCCTGTCCCATCGGGTCTGGGGTCTGCATGCCGCTCACTGTGATGCGAGTTGACTCATTTGGTGCCACCGGCACATCAAAATCCAGGGGACCCCCATTCCCTTGCATGGTGGCACTCTTCAGCTTGGACCCTTGAACCCCAGTGCCGGAGGCACTGTCTAGTGACCCAGGGGCAGCTGGCTGCCTGGCCAGACAATTTACATACTGCTGGGCCTTATAGGGCTGTGCGTGGAAGGGATTTCCCCCGGGACTGGTGCTGGTGTCACCAGGGATGGCCAGATGCTCCGGGCCACTACTGAAGGTGCTGCCATTGTCCGTGAGGCCCTGATATCCCCCAGCCAGGCCCAGGCCAGCCCTCCAAGGGTTCTGTGGGGGAACCACCATGCTGCTGTACAGCCCGAAGCCCCGAGCCTGCTGCCCTGCAGAGCGCTGGCCGCATTTCAGCTTGGAGGAGGGCAGGTCGGCGCTTCCCGAGCTCACTTCGTTCCATTGAATGGGCAGGTCACTTTTGCTGCCTTCTGTGCCCGTCTGCTCCAGGGAATGGAACTGGTTGTCTGGCAGCCCAGGTGGGTCAAAGTCGCCCAGCCTGTGGGGTCCTTTGCTGTCCTCTGAGATAGCACTCTGCAAGTGCTGCCCGTACCCTGCTTGGTTCTGGGAATTTAAATACTGCACCACGTCATCAGGCAAGAAATCCTCATCGTTCAAGTTGGCATCAGCGTCCACGGTCAGGGACTCCAGGGTGACATTCTCCGTGATGCTGGGAGGACAGGGGGACGCGTGGAAGGGATGGGGCTGGCTGCCTTCAGGCCGAGTGTAGTTCTGCAGCACCAGACTCCGCTTTTCGGCAGATGGAGGACTGAAGCTGTTGAGGCTGCTGAAGCGTGGGACCCTGGGTGGTGGCAGGCTGTCTGAGGCCGTCCTCACTGGATCGCTGGCCCTCCTTACACTGTTCCCCAGGGCGTCATGTGGGAGCAGGTGGCGCCGGCCATAACTGTGGGCACCCCCATCGCTGCATCTCCGGGGAGGGGGCACGGGAGGCAAGGTCACCCCGGACTCCCGGCTGTCTCCAAGCAGGGCCATCCTGGTCTTCAGGCTCAGCCTCTCCATGTGTGGCAACGGCGTGGGTGGTGGTCCTCCCGTGGCCGCGGCATACTTGGCCTTGAGGCGGTACTGCTGGGCAGGTGTGAGGCTGAGCAGGCTGGGCAGCCCATCGCCCTGGCTGGCTTCGCTGGACCTTCGTGAGGCGTCAGTGGAGATGGGGTCATAGGAGTCAGCCACGCTCACATTCTGGGGCCGGCCCTCGGCTTGCGATGCCTCGCTGGACCTGCGGCTGGAGAAGCACGGGGAGATGCCCGAGGAGCGGCGGCTGCTCAGGTAGGCTGAGCTAATGGTGCTGGTGTTGCTATCCCTCCGGGTGAGCGTGTTCAGCATGGTGAGGTCCACCCCGGAGAAGTCGCCTCTGTTTGGGATAAGAGTCACAGGCCCGCCCGAACTGCAGTTGTTACTGGACTGTGTGCCTGCAGAGGAAGTGGGCAGGGAAGAGAGGGAGAGAGGTTGTGAACCCGACGGTGCCTTAAACCAGGTGTGCAAGGTGCCAGGCAGAAGCCACTTTCGTCTTCCCAGGCCTCTGTGGTTGCTGATACAACCATTCAGCTCTGCAGTCCTGAGCCCCAGCGGTCACAGACAACAGAGAAGGAATGAATGGCTGCAGCAGGTGCAATGATATTTTCTTTACAAAAACAAGTGGCAGGCTGCATATGGATTCCAGGCTGTATTGTGCTGACCCCTGGCTTAAACAAAGGAATGTCAACTGCTCTGTCAATTTAGTTAAGCTCCTGCACAGGCACAGTGCAAGGACAAAAAAGGACTCTTGGGACATATACTCAGTGCCCTAGTTCTATGCAGAAGGGCTCCTGTGTTTCACATGCACAGACAGGGCTTCCTGTTTATTTCACAGCCCATGAACAGGTGGCAGAGAGCAGCACCTTTAGAACGGGATACAGATATTGTGCTTCAGGTCACTGACTCCCCCAGTACCATGTCAGAAGCAAAGACTGATCTCTGGGAAAGGTTGCTGTCCTTTCCTTCGACTTGGCAAACTACAAGTGGCAAACTCCAAGAATTATTCTGTTACTGTCTCTCTGAACTCTCCAGAAAGGCAACTCAAGTGTGCTCAATTTCAGCATGGGTGGGTTTATGTTACACTGTTGGGACTGGTGGAAAAGCGAAGAAACATTCTGAGAGGTTCTGGACCCATGTGAAGGAACAGAAAAAAAAACAAAAGCTGGGCTGGGGATTTAGCTCAGTGGTTTCACCGCCTGCTGCGCAAGTGCAAGGACCTGAGTCTGATCCCCGGTACCAGAAAAAAAAAAAGAAAGCTAAGCAGGCACGTGATCCTATGGGGACTCACCATTTCCTATGAGAGGAGAGACCGCAGGGGCTTTGGGGGGTAGAATGGGGTTCAGTCGCGGAAGCATTCCATTCACTTGCTTCAGCCTTTCTAGTTTGACGTGCTCCATCCATTTGGTCCCTGCTGGATTCCTCCTGGTTTGCAAAGCAAGGGCTGTGGTGGCGGTGGAAATGGTCGAGTCCATGATCGGGGTTTCATCGATGGCACTGAGGTCTGCAGCACTTCCTCCATCGGTCAGAGGAAGCTCGAGCCCACTGTGGGAATAGCTGCTGATGGGGGACTGTTCGCTGCTGCATGAAGACTGACCACCAGGGCTTGGCTGAGATGTCTGCGGGCATCAAGGGAAAGGAAAGAAACGTCACCGGGAAGGGTGAAGGGAGGGCGCTCACGATGACAGATCATGCCTATCAAGACCCAGGCTCTGGTGGATGGCGGTGGCCTTTGGGACCAGAATGACTGATGAGGCCACCAGGCCAATGTACAGGGGGAGGCAATGGACAGCAGAAGATGCTAGATGTGAGGTGACCAGCACGTGAGCAGCCATGGAATCCTGTCCCAAGTAATCAACTCTGCAAATACACTTCCTCTTTTTCAATCCCAGCTCCAGGACTTTCACCTTTGAGCAAATTACTTAGCCACTCGAAACCTGAGTTTTCTTATCTGTAAAATGGGCATCTTTTAACTTAAGTACTGCTGTGGGGAATTAATGTGAAGTTCAGGGAGCATGCAAGTATAAAAAGACCACAGTAATAGTAATAATTAGCCGACAAGGCACTAACAATTATTACTATCTAGGTGTTTTAATCTTAGGGCTCATTTTATGGGGTCTAAAACATAAATGTAAAATATATTCCATAGAACACATCACCTTCTCTCCAACAAGGTCCTCTCTAGGCTCCCCAGTGCTGGTACCCAAGCTCTCTGTAACCTTTTCTTCCTCCTAGATATTCCTGCTGCTGTGCAACCTCAACCAGCTTGAAGATCAAGGGAGGGTAAGAGGTAAAAGGTCACTTTGCTTCTGCCATTTCTGGAGATGCAATGCCCTGGATCTCTGGAATAGTTTTACCCTTCGCCTTAGTGTGCCCCTAGCATTTCTCCAGGAGAACTGAGAAATGGTCCCCATACCCACAGCTGAGGGGGCTCTGTAAGAAAAGTCTGCCACTAATGGGAACTGAACATAGTCTCTGGTTCTAGATCAGGGCTCCCACTCCAGGACTCCTGGAAATAGGGGATGGAAGAAAGCCTGGCTATCCCAGTGTCTGGGGAGCACTCTACAAAAGAGTCTGCAATTTCGAGGACAGTTGGAACAGGATTTAACTAACCATTCTACCTAAAATTCCAGTGATCGCCTGGTTGATAAACAGACAAATCCTTTTACAAGGATAAGAAAACAATGTCCAGGGAAGTTTATGGCTGCCCCAAGTCACAAAGTGCAGGGGGTGACCGGCTGGGACTTTCTCTACTGATACTACAAAAACTGGAGCCAAGGACGCAGCAGAAAGAATACTTCCAGGAAGTTCACCACTCAGGGAGACAGTACAGTGAATCTCAGGTGGGATGCACAAGGCTGCCCGGAAGGGGTCTATGAGATAAGGCTTCTTTCTGGAGCCCTTTATACCTTTTCTGCTGTCACGGTGCACATATCCAAGCAATGAACATTTTCTAAGTGAGGGCCCCATGGGATGCTAACTTCATCCTGGGCAACCAAGCAGAGCAAAGGAAGACAGGCAAATCTTGAATTTGGGAAGCTGAATATTTTGCCTCAGTAGAGCCCTAAATTGCAGGCTACTTTCTCCTTCCTGAGGCATTCAGAGTTTCCAGAGCTTGGGATGTCTTACACTCCTGGACTGTCAATTCAGAATGTGTGTGAGTGTGAATTTGTGTGGATGAGTATACACACAAGTGCAGACATATACTTCCGTATTGAGTATAAGAAGGTACACATGTACCTACAATTAGAAAACTTCATGAGCTCACACATTTAAACAGAGATTACATTGTTAACAAAAAATATATCTAGAGTTTCCTCAAAGAAGGTGGAGAATATCTGGTCTAAGAATGAATTTATACTAGTAATTTAACAAAATTTGACAACGTCTGCTTGGTCGATCCCAGTGTGATCTATTATGAAAACCTAAACAAAGAGAACAATGAATTTCATCATCTACTGCCACATTTTCCACATGCTGAACATTCAAAACACATTGCTTTTATATTTCAAACATGGCCAAGTGATGTTCACTACCAAAGATGTCACAAAGCCACAAAAACTAAAGAAAATGAAATGAAACAAAAAATGTTGAATGTTAAAACGCAAACAAAACAGAACAAAAAGAACACAGAAGACAAAATTCCCTCACCTTATTACCCACTGTCCTTAGGAAGTGAGAACAAGACATTTAGAAGCATTAGAGAGAAGAGATGTTGCAATAAGAAAAAAGAAGAAAGAATTTAATTTATAGCATGATGATCAAATTAAAGACATGTTTTTAAAGAAAGAATATTAGGAATGTAAATTTCATGGTCACTAGTAAAGTCTATGAAGCTCTCTACTTATATTTAAATGTGTGAGTACATAAACACACATTATGGTCTACGTGGAGATGGGGTTACATTATAACCTCAGGGAGCTTCAATTTCAGGAAAACATGAGGCCTAAGTCTCGAGCTCTGTAGTTTCCCTTTAGCTCTTTATTTCTACGATATGATTACTTTAGAAAATATTTCAGACATCTCAGTTGGGGTGCCCCAACTGCCAGTGAGTCAAATCACTATAAATTTTTATTCCTATCAATTTTCTTCTTGAACAATGGGCATCAGGAAAGAAGAGAATACATTTTCTTGAGCTAGGGATACACATTAAAGGCACGAGAGACTTTGGGTGCTTAGCATGTTGCGAGAAGATAAGTCATCGTCTCTCCGTGACATAATCTAGGAGACCACACTTTCATTTTCCCTTCTTTCGTTCTACACTTGAGAATAAACTGTTGAATGTTCTGCATGACTACTATACAGGATGACTTTATTTTAGGAAATAGATACATGGTCACCTCCAAAAATATATGAAATGCAGCTTAAGAACTGATTAATTTAAAAATACAGGGATCAGTCGTAATATATAAATATTGATTAAGATGCTTTATAAAAGCAAAGTACAGCTACACATTGAGATCTAATGGTGACGCTGGACGGCTTATTTGCATTATTTCTGGCTAGAATTCATGTCACTTTGTAAGACTCAGAAGAGTTCAAAGACAAACCCAGTAAATTATTAAAATGCAGTTCCCCACCCAGCCAGTCCAGAGGGGCCTGTGCCAGACTTCCAATCCACAGAGGCCTCTTCACCCGGATGTCATCACTCAGGAATTCGAACAATGCCGGTCCCTGGGCTAGACTGCTCTGATTTCCTTAAACCAAGTATAAATCTGCCTCTCCAAGCATTTCTGTGTGCCCAGAAATCTAAGCATGCAAATCCTATCTGGTACATTCCCTCTACAGGTCAGAGTGACCAACTGAGTCCCAACATGCTCACTTAGTTAAATGTGTTGTACACATGATCAAATAGAAATGGACTCCATCTCCTCTAGTATTGATTCCTTTAATTTCTCTCATTGTCCTCTGAAATCTTTAGGTGTTTGATCAGAGCATATCCACAAAACAAAATCATCAAGTTCAGTTCACAAGCAGCTGGGAAGAGTAGCATAACCCCAACCAAATCAGTGTTAGCCTATTAAGAATTTTTAGAAATCCTTCTTTGTCTTCTACCTCGTGGGCTCAGGCACAAATGCACAAATGGTCTCCAGTTTTATAGTGCTGAATCTGACACTGGAGCTGTGTCTGAAATTCCACCCCGCTGTGCCTTTCCCTGTCACCAGTAACCCCCCCCCTTCCCCTCCACAGCTCCTCCATAGGTCAGGCGCCTGGGCAGGGGCCTCTCTGCCTGCCCTCCTCCCTCATCTGCTGGACTCCTGTCCTCATTGCCTCTGCCCTGAGAGCTCGGTCAATCACATCTCTCTCGAACGTACTTCACACAGGCCTCTTTAAGCCCCTATCAACCTGCTTGGTGAGCATTTTTCATCTATCCCACTGGACTGTATGTAAACCCCTAAAGAATAAGGACTGTAGCTTATTTATCTTGGGGTTACCAGGCAAAGAAGGCAGAAAACCTGTTTATGGGAAGACTCCGTGAATGATTTTCTACACATGATGGGCACACTGATCAATTTTAAAATGAATTAGGAAACCTGGCAGTTCTTTTCAGGGTGGAGCTATCCTACATGGATCAACTGTGTAGGACCCCCTTGAATCACGGTGGCCTGGATGCAGTAAGGATAGGAGCATCTGGTCCCTCTAAATCCCTGCTGAGCTCTTTTAAATGACCCCAGGCTGGCTGTGGAAAATCAGGAGAGCGAATGACATACCATGGGCTTCTCAGCTTTGACTGTCTTCACCTGGAGGCATTCCTCCCGCTTTGAGGTAGGGGTACTGAGGTCTTTCTGATCCCCGAGGGCTCCCTGAGTCGGCCGGCCAGGGGACCTGGACTGGGAATGACTGCCAGAATCCCTGGGGGGTGGGGGCCGGGGGTGCATGTCCCCTCGCTGCTTCTTGGTGACGTGCGCCTCAGGGCCATGCACAGTCTTCACATGTTTCCGGAGGGAGCTGGGGTCCGTGTAGCGCTTGGTGCAGCCTGGGATTTTGCACACATATGGTTTCTGCCAAATGCCACAAGAGTGAGACAACAGATTACAGAAGTGATTATGCCCCAGCCCTATGCTCATTACGTTTTTAATTCTTTCAAAACACTTTTACAAAGCTTGGAGGTATTCAAATACCTCTAGGAGCTAACAGCTTAATAAGGCCATTTAGATGTTGTTCAGGGTCCACAGAATCTAGTTTAATAGATGATTATTTTAGAGAGTGCTCCAGGAAGCTAAGAAGGTGTAAACTGCCTTTATGTTCTTGGAAGCATTTGTGCTCTGAGTGGGAAGAAGTGTCCCAGTGCCGTGAAAGTTAGGTGCTCAACAGATACTTGAGGATACTGTGATGATGATGATGATGATGATGATGATGATGATGATGATGATGATGATGGATAGAGACTTAAAAGACCCCATCATCTAATCAGGAGAATGCTGCACACCTTTCAGGAGAGGGTGTGTAAAGACATTTCATAGGGATATACTGCTTCTTTGATCTAATGTCACTCGGCACTTCGCAAATGTGCTATTTGCACACAGGCATAATAGAAAAATTGCCTATAGCCTCTGCCATGTGAGATGCCACTAAAATGTGTTTCTCTGGGTAGCATTCCAAGTGTATGCGGGGGTATTCAGGGCTCAAAATAACCCCACAGTGTCCATGAATGCATGGCATACACTGCTCAGAGCTGGTGGAAAGTGTGCTAGAAACCAGGATTTTTGATCTGTGCTCTTTTCCCAAGTCTCTAGATCTATAAATTCTTTCAGGCTAATTTTATTTTCTATAAGTGTAGTGAGCAAGCCTCCAGATACAGCTGTCGCTGAGTATTTACTCAAATCATAGGACTGCTGGCCTCTGCTCATAACCAACATCAAAATTGTGGTTTTGTTCACTTGCCTTCCAAAATAATACACTCATAGGTGCTCATGAGTAAAGTTGGCCCTTTCTATCCAAGGGTTATTTGACCCACCACCAGTTGTAAATATTTTCAAAAACTGCAACTGTACTGAGTTCTGTATGTAGACTTTGTCATTATTCCCTAAACAATAAGTATGACAACTATTTACATAGCATTGACGTTGCACTAGATATGAGTAATCTACAGTCTAGATGATCTAAAGTTTACAGAAGGGTGTGTGTAGATTATGTGCAAATACTATACCGTTTTATATAAAGGACTCAAGTATTCTTGGGTTTTGGTTCTTTAGGGGTCCTGAAAATAATTTCTTGCAGATATAAGAGATGACTGTGTACATCTGTATCTATGCATACCAGAAGATGAGCTATTTGGTAAGCAATCCTCATAAAAAGCAAGATTCATGTAATGTCTCTACTATATTTTAAAATATGTCCTGCCTTATGGAATATATGTCTAAAAGACGCTTTTTCAGTAAAAGCCCCAGAACAGACTGAGTGTAACCTAAAATGCGAAATGTCCTAATGCAGTGAAGCAAAGATTCTGAAAATTATCCTGGAAGACTTCACCTCCAAATCTGAGATTCCTTTGGGCAGAACTGAATCCCATTAAGTTGAATTATGTCTACTCAGAAACTTGTGCAATTTGCAGCATGGGCATGCGTGTGTGTGTGTGTGTGTGTGTGTGTGCGTGCGTGCATGTGTATGTGTGTGTGTGTCTGTGTGTAACAAAATGAGCACATCAAATTCTATGCATTAGGGACAAAGAATGGTTCTGGATGTTTAGTATCATTACAGAGTCCTTAATCTGACCTATGTGTGCTCAGGACATTGTTGTGTCAGGTCCTTCCCTCAACAAGCAGAAAGGAATGTATGGGGCAGTTGGTGGCCACGGGGAGGGGAGAGGACACTCCAGGGGTGGAGCTGCAGGGCATTCTGAAGGGCTCCTTTTCCTATAAATATATGCATGTGAATAGCCTACATTAGCCTAGAGTGCTGTGTCATGAGCACAGAGAGGTTGGCCAGCACCTGCATGCTCAAGACCCACAGCACACACAGACAGGTACACCAGTACCTATGTGCCTTTGCATGTGAACACATACATTATCTGCCTACAGAAATCCACAGGAACACAGTTCTGTTCAGGAAATCTATACTTCACAGCAAAACACATTAATTCTATTATGTAGCTTGGCTTTCAAATTTTGTTGGCCCAGTGATTCCAATGAAATATAATTATAGGCCAAGACAGATGTGAGACTTACATGAGTCGCCTGGGTATTCAACTTTTGACATGATTGTCACCACTGACTCGCTGCACTTAGGCTCTATGAAAGCAGTTGCTAAGTCTTTTGATTTTGTAGAATTTTTCCAAATATTTTTTTTCAATAAACAGTTAGTGATCCCAATCCATGGAAGAGCTTGCGAGCACAAAATTGTATATGATGGGATTTAATCTCAATGAATATAAAAATCCTTAATGTAATCCTTGTATTTTGTATATAAAATCTTACTTTCTGGGAGGGAAAATATAAGAGCATTTAATTATCTACAATATAAAGCGTGACTGCTGAGGGTGTTGGCAGAGGAAGAATCAGCTTTCATTTGGGATGGTCCTGGGAGGGATCAGTTATTAAATTTTGGTATCTGAGTTGAATGCTCAGCTTCTGGGGTTATGCCAAGTGTCAAGTAAGATCACATCCAGAAATGCTGCTCGACACACGGAAGCACTCAGTAAATGAGCTTTTATCAGGAGGAGGCATTTTAGTTGGGCACTGAAAGGAGGATAAGATTCTGGGAGACAAAATAAGTGCAAAAGGATGCAAACAAGAATTGTCCCAAGCAAAGGTCCAGCAGAGGACCACATCACACACGTCAGCATGACAGTCTAACAGGGTTTCTGAAGTAGCAGGTATTGTCACCGGCCACTGCTTCATTCCAGTGGCCCTAGAGAGGCAGGGACAGCCTAGGAGATGGAGAAATGCCAGAGCAGCTTCCTCCAAAGGGTTAGGGTTAGGTTCCCTTCCTGGCCCATGCCATTATGTTCTAGCCACAGCCAGGATGGCAAAGAGCTGGTGCACGACTAGCTATCTATCAACAGTTGCCCAGTCAATAAAGGAAGGTGCAAATAAGACAGCAAGTAAGTGAGGCCAATCCCTTGATTTATCTAGGATGGTGTGGTTATGCAACTCTGGATTTCCTGGACAAACTTAACTTGTGTATCTGAAACTGTCCATGGTTTCATAGTGCAAGGCTGAAACCTTGTGTACAGAACATGTGTATAAAAATGACTTACATGTTTGTGAGTAAAATTTTAATGATGTGCTTATGATCAAGGTTAGCAATTTGAGAAAGTTCCTCAATCTTGGTGAAAAACGGTATTGACCAAGATATCTTTTGAACTCATAAGATATTCAATCCTCATGTAACACTGATTTTTACCTCACAAGAGATCACAAGCTCAACTGCAATACGCTTCATTCAAGCAGACACATGCACATATTTCAAGTCCACAAAAAGATAAAAAGCTCAGTAAGGACTTATATGTGGGCACTGATAATCCTAATTTGTCCATTATTTGAATTTCTCCACAACAAGAGAGAAGGTTGGCCTACAATCTAGAAGAATGAATATCCCCTTTTAGTGACTTAAATACACGCCATATAGTAATTATATTGTAAGTGAAGTTAATCAAGCCCCTTAAAAATTTGAAAAACTTGAAAAGCAAAGTAAGGCTATTAAATTGCACAATTCAGCAGCACTTTGTACCTTCTTAATGTTGTGCAATCATCACCAGTATCTAATTCCAGAACATTTTATCACCCCAAAATGAAACCTCATATCCAACAGCACTCACCCCTGTTCCTTCCTTCCCTGGCTGCTGGCAAATGCTTATCTACCTTCTGTCTCTATGGATTTGCCTATTTTAGACTCCTTAAAATTTTGTACAAACAAGTGCAAAGGATGGAACTATAGCTATTGCACACAGGAAAGGCATTTTTTACATAAAAATCTGAATCTGTCATCTCCTCTGAAATGTCTTCAGTCAGTCAATATTGATACATTCCAAATGACTCCTACTACCGTATTCCACCAGGACCTTTTCAAAAAGAGCTTGTGTACCTAGACTTGCAGGTCTGAGTGTGCTTTGTGGCCAGTGTGGTTCATCCGGTTAGACACAGTTTTGCTCTGTTTGAGTGAGGACCATCTTCACTATCTTACAGTCAAAGGACCCTGAGTGCAATGGCTTGCTTTGTTTTTACCAGGTGCTCTTTCCCCAGCTCTATCTGCAAGAGCATGCATGAGTTCAGGTGGCATCTGGAGAGATCATGAGGGACTCTCCAAGGTCTTATGTGCACCAACTGCTCCTCCTCTAGCCCGTTTCAAGCAGAGGACAGAATCTGCAGAGCTGAACGGAAGAGTGGTGTGAAACTGTTTAACCATCCAATTTGTACCCCAAATACTGGAATCCTTGGCGTTACTTTGTTGATTCCCTCAAGCGAAGGCTTTCCAGACAAGCCAGCGCTGGAGCCAGACACGCACGAAGTTGGGGGTCTGGAGGCAAAAAAAAGTATCAGCAAAATGAATTGGGAGTTCTTTTCATTCTTGTGCTTCCCTGCAATTTGTGGGACATAACTACTTCAACAGAACAGCAACACCACAGAAACCATTCACTGCCATGAAGCTTTCCTCCAAAGATTACCTTCAGTATTTACTGGGTTTCTAGAATATCCTCCAAGGTCCTTTAGAATGGAGAATGTCTGGAAGCGCTTTTTAAGCCATGGCTGACTGCTCTGTAAAAACTCTTTCTTGATATAATGCGTTTGAAGATGCCACTTGGCCAAAGCAAATGCAAGAGGGTGTTTCTGAGTGAGCTGCCACCTGCCAGTGTGCTGCGGCTGTCCACTGTGCCTGCGCTTGGATTTATGCTCTTCTGGGCAGCACAAGTGGATGGGATTCCAAGTCAGTACGCCTCTCCTCTGACCAGTAGGTGGCGCTTCCCAATAACATGAAACCAAATTCACAGGGAGTTTTAGGAAATTCCCTTTCCATCTGAATTACTCTCCAAAGGAGGCCTAATTTTCAGCCCTACCTCTGAGGCTCAAGCCTTTGCCTGCAGGGTCAGAGCCCACTCATACTGGGAAAGGGCCAACAAAATAATAAAACAGAAGATCCTTTCCTTTCCAGGGACATGGCCCAGGGAGGATGCTTACCTCGTTGGAATGTGTTCTGTTTTGGTGCTTGGCACGATCGGAGGCATTTGAGAACGCCTTGTTGCAACCTTCATGCTCACAGACATACGGTTTCTCTCCAGTGTGAGATCTCAAGTGTGTTTTCAAGTTTTCTAGTCTTGAGTAGGCTTTTGTGCAACCTTCAAACTGTGGACAACAGGTAAATCTGGATTACTCCACACAATAGCCCCTGCCACCACTTAGGCCTAACCCGCTGCCCAAGGGCATAAAAACTTCACATCGAAAGGGTCAGCAGCTTTTGAAAACCACTGAACAAAAACTCCACTAAACTCTGCATGAATTGGGATTCAGATGTGGCTTGGGCCGTTCAAGATAAAGCATTTTTCAGGGCTAGTAAAAGTCCTGAAGTTTTTTTTTTTTTTTTTTAATAGTTCACTCATTGTGGACAATGGGTTTCATTATCTGCTCATTGATCGCCTCAAATTCCCACTGATTTCAGATTCAGCACAAAGTTCATTAATATGGCTTTGTGTCCATACAAAGACAGGGGATTTGATCACGTTTGTGAAGGGCCTTTAAGATGTAAAGTACCAGGGCCAAGCAGTGCCCAGGGTGCTTAGCGGGCACCTGGCTAGGAGAAGGCTCAGCCTCTGGCAGCCCTGGCCCCCTGGGCAGGCCAGAAAGGAAACCTTTGTGAGTAGACACAGGTTGAGTTCCTTCAACCAGAACATTTGGGATCAGAAGCATCTTGAATTTTTTCAACTTACAGAATATTTTGCATATATATAATGAGATATCCCTGGGAAGGAACCCAGATCTAATCATGAAACGCCTTTATGTTTCCTATATACCTTATATAGATAGCTTGAGAGTAACTTCATGTAATATTTTTAATATTTTTGACTGTCACAGGATACCTGGTGTGGGATTTTCCACTTATAGAATCAGGTCAGCACTCAAAAGTCTCAGATTTTGCAGCTTTTCCTTCTTTTTTTTTTTTTAAGTAATGGGAATCAAACCCACAGCTTTGTCCTGAGCTACATCCCACATCTCCAACCTTTCTTTATCTTTTTTTTTCTTCTTTCACTAAGTTGCTCAAGGTAAGCTCAAACTTTTGATCCTCCTGCCTCAGACTCCAGAGTGTTGGGATTTTATAAGCCTTCACCACCTTGCTTGGCTAGACTTCTTTAATTGGGGGTGCTCAACCTGTGCAGAAGTCAGGTTTTTAAAAAGTCAACAGGGGCTAGGGATTTAGCTCAATGGTTTCATCGCCTGCTGCGCAAGCGCAAGGACCTGAGTTCGATCCCCGGTACCAAAAAAAAGAAGTCAACAAACAGAAGTAGGAGGCTGGCACATCCCTTTGCCTTCTGGATCATCTACTGCAATAAGCTGCTGAGCTGGGGCAAAGGTGGTAGCCATGAACAGTTCCTGGTGCTGGGACCTGCGGCCTGCTCACCACTCTTGCAGTTGTCCTGTCTAACTAGGGTAAGCTAAAAAATAAGGGCAGAGCCAGGGATTTAGCTCAGTTGTGACACCGCCTGCCTCTAAAGTGCAAGGTCCCAAGTTCGATCCCCGATACCAAAAAAAATGTAAAATAAACAAGGGCATCTACCACTAGACGGCACCCCATCCTTCTTCTGGATGCCATCCAGCCATGCTTGCTCTAAATTAGACCCTGAAGGGTACAAGAAAGGACCCACAGGTGAAGCCCAACACCCATGGGTGCCAAGGGAGCCCAGGGCTGGCGCCCACGTTTGTACTCACAGTGCATTTGTGAGGCTTCTCGCCCGTATGTCTCCTCATATGCACCACCAACATGTACTGGGCTTTGAAGGGTTTCTGCTCCCTGGAGCAATCAAGCCACCGGCACACAAACTCCTTCTTCTCGCCGTGGATATGGTCATTATTGATATGCTGGGGGAAAAGAGAGGGAAGGAGTACTCATTTCAAGGGAATGGAAGGAACTAAAATACATGGCCTAATCTTAAGTCCTAACCATTAAATGAATGACCTGACCAAAGTACAGATTTTGAGAAATTCTAGTTAGTAGATTGCCTGGTCAAATTTACTCTTGCTGACTGGGTTTGCATGCTTCCTGGCCAGCAGGAGTGAGAGGACGCTATGGAGAGGAACCCTGATGTCCCAGAAGAAGTACTAGGATGGGCATCTGAAGAGCTGCATTCAATTCTGAGTTTTGCACCCAGCTAACTGTGAAATAAGGTGAGCCATTTTTGACTCCTCTGGGCCTCTGTTAATTCTCATCTGCCAAGCGGGTGTGGGGAGGATCACAGGTAAAGGATGGCAAAGGTGTTCTGCAGCTCTGACATATATGGTGCACAGGTATGCACATATACATCTGTAACAAGTCATAAGTAATAAGAAAACTGAAAGCACCTTTCAAATTAAACTGTAGTTCAGGCTTGAAGTAATTTTCTCTTGGTAAGAATCACAGAAAGAAGAGCTGGCTACCAAAGGAGAGAAGTATGCTGCAGTCAGCAAGTGATCTAGTCAACAAGTGATCTATCCAGCCTCTCAGGGCTTTTGTTCTTTTCATGCACAGAGTAAAGGAATGAAGCCAGGCTTGGAGATGCATGGCGGTAATCCCAGGATTCTGGAAGGCTAAGTCTGAGCCCAGCCTGGGCAACTGAATGATTTAAGGAGGCCTTGTCTTAAAATTAAAAAGAAAACGGGGCTGGGGTTGTAGCTTAGTGGGAAGACCCTAGGTTCAATCCCCAACCCTAATAAACAAAAACAAAAATAAAAAGCAAACAAAAAACAAGGAATGAGCTCCCTAGTTTCTAAGGTCATTTCCAGATTTAACATACTGTTAATTCAGATTTTAGAAGGAAGCTGAACATTCTCAAATTCTTCATCAATTCAGGACTTTAGAACCAACCACACTGTACTTGGTTTCCTGGACGAACATGACAAGTGCCCTTCTAACAGGAGAAAGGAGATATCCATCGTGCAGGGGAAGAGGAAGATATTCCTCTGCATCACAAGCAGGTCAATCTCAGTAAGCCAAGCACAGTATTTAAATGTCCAGTTCTTGACTATCGGGGGATTTATATCCTGTTTTGATTCTCTGGTAATCCTGCATTTTGTTTGCCTTAATTTAAGGCGGTTGGGAGAACTTTCTCAAACACAGAGAAACACATCAATTAAAAAAACCCGACCAGTCACTGAACGCTCCCTTCGGTCCTCTGCATTCCGCGGCTGTGACATAACATCTAATTACTTGCCAGCTAAAGACTCTGGCTCCAGAGGGAGGGGTCTCCAGGACCTAAGGGCAAAATTCTACCATCAGAGCCTACCTTTCCCGCTTTCTCCACTAGGTGGCTGACTGCTTCAGGAAAAGAAGTTTATACAAAAATAAGTTTTTTCGTGCTGTTTCGGGAGCTTAAAACTGGGTGAGAGCAAAGAAAACAAATCATCATTCGCTTCCCTCTCCTTGAATGGCTCTCAGAAAGCAGGATGAACAGAAAACAGTGGTTGGCATATCACAGCAGGCAGGGGGACCACGGTGATCCCGTGGGAAGCGTAAACGACAGGGGCCCCGAAAGAATCACTCAGGTACGTTAATGTACGACAAACTTGTAGCCTGCAAACGTGGGTTCCTATCACAACCAACTGCCCCTCATGGGGCAGAGCTTCTTAGAAGCCATGGCGGTGCACTCATGTCTGTAAAGAGAACAGATGTGTTGAGCAGCGACAGCACATGATCCTTAAATCTGTCCTTCCGGTACAGCTTTATAGCCAGTGCCCTGGGGTCTCAAGTGCCCCACCTAGTCCTAAATGTGTGCTGAAGCCGAAGCTTTGAAATTAAGTCCACACGGTGGGAGGACTTCTGTGGATTCTCTTTTGCAGGGAGAAAAACAAATGATGGCACAAAACCACTCCGTAAAAGTTGCTCTTGAGGAGGAAGGAAAGACGGGAGAAAGAAGGAAAGGAGGAAGAAGGAAAGAATGAAAATTAGAAAACAGAATCACAATTTGTGCTGAGCCAAGTCCTAGAAGTCTTTTCGTCATAGATGTCTTTAATTTCCTATTCTCAGCCAGAGTGTTCTGGTTCTTTGCAGATACTCAGTAAATATTTGTTGAACTGATTTGACCCATACAGTAGAGTAAACTTTCACTGGGCAACAGAAGCTACACTGGATGCTTTTATCCTGATGCAACTTCATTTCACCTGGTACTTAATAAAAATTTAACCCCTAGTATTTCACTATTTTAAAATAGTAAACACTCAAGAATTCAAAAATTTTCTAAAAATACCCAAAGATGAGCCTTCTCTTGCTAGATGGGGAAAAAAATGCACTCAATTGCAACATTTCTTCCTTCTGTCCTCTTCCTCATTCCTCTTTTTTCTCTCTCGAACTGGGGATTGAACCTCGGTCCTTCACACTGGGATGCTTCCCCAGTCCCTCTCTCCCTCACCCTTTTTAACTTTTGATTTTGAGAGAAGGTCTGGCTATGTCAATACATTGCCCAAGCTGAGCTCAAACTTCCCATCCTCCTGCCTCAGCCTCCCAGAGTTCCAGGATTACAGGCCTGTCCACTTCATTCAGCTGCAACATTTCTTTTCTCAAATGCATTTCTGAGGATATGCTGAGCAACACCCTCACCAGGTCCTGCTCTAGGGAGTAAGACGGACATAATTCCTGCCCTAAGGAAATTACAGTCCACTGGAGGAAAACAGATAATGACTAAAACTGCTGTATAATTATAGCTGTGATAATCATCATGAAGGGAAATCATGGGTTTTATAAAGAGGTATATAGCAGGGGCTCCTGAGTCAGGATAGAGCCTCAGGACTCAGGGTGGCTTTGCAATTGAACCTGCACTTAAAGCAGGACCCGGAAGCTGAATGGAGACCCAGAAGCTGAACGGAGACCAGACAGGTGTCAGGTAAGGTGGGAGTGGAGGAAAAAGGGACACATCTGCAGATGGAAGGCAGGGGGCGCTGAGGATGAGTGTGAGCCCCAAAAATGGCTGGAGAGAACTGGCCAGGCAGACCTGGTGGCCTCGGGCTCTGCCACTGTTTGGCATGTGGTGAGAGGCACCCACTTCTCAGGAGTCCTGTGGACGCTGCTGCTGAGGTGGCCTAGTTTGGGCCAGCTTGCCAGGGCTCACCTAAAGTGCAGCGTGCTGGGCGAGGCGCCCTACAGTGCGGCCTGGGGCCACTGCTACCCAGAATCACAGGTGCCATTGAAATATAGGGTGAGCAGGCTGGGGATTTAGCATGCAAGGTCCTGAGTTCGATCCCAGGTACTAAAAAAAACCATGGTATTTACATAAATATTTATTATAGTAAAAGATAAATTGTTATGAATCCCATTCAAAATACTTCCTCTCACTTTGAACACAGCAATCCCATCTTTTTTGGCACTTTCTGAAGCAATTCTGAAAGTCCTCTTTCCTGAGTGTCTTTACACGGTAGGATTAACAATTCAGTGAAGGGACTGCCAAGTGCCATCCAACAGCAAGGCAGGTTCCTAAAGACATGGAGGGGTGTTCTCATGTGGAGAGCTGCGTGTGCCGCGCCTTAAAGATGGCGCTGGTTTCCGCCTTCCGCCATCCCGACGGCGAGAGCTCTTTATGATAAACAACTCCTTATTTGGCTGTGATGTGTCTGATGCTCTGCCCCCTCTTACGTGTACCTATCCGCATTCGCCACATGACTATCCGTGATTGGTTGGTTCAGGGGTACTTATTCTAGGGACGGGTGCTCCCCTGGGGTAGAAGAAAAAGAATGTTAAGTTTTCCTGAATAAACTGCTAGAAGAAGAGCGTTGGTGTTGCGTCGTCATTGCTGGTCAAAGGCGAACGCGACATTCTCATTCACCTTATTCACCAGATTTGCCACCATGAGACTTCTGGCTTTTCCACAAAGAGCCAATGACCATGAAAGGTAAATGTTTTGAATCCATTAAGGCAGCCACAACAGCATAATTGACAACATACATGAAAGAGGACTTCCAGAACTGCTTCAGAAAATGGCAAGAACCATGGGATACATTTTTTTAAAAGCAAGCAGAGTATTTTGCAGAGGGGATTTAATGGGAATGTGTCTTTTACTGTAATACGTATTTTAAAAAATTTAAACCTTCACTGTGTTTTTCAATCATACCATCTAGAAAGCCCACCCTTGAATGCCTGTTCCCGTGATGGAGGACATCAGGGAACCTGGTGCTTCTTAGGGGAAGTGCATGACCAAGGTGGGGGGAAGTGCCAGTAATGGCCAGTGAGGTAAGAGATCCTGGCCTTGTCCTCCCGTGAGGGCCAACACTCACGGTGGGGGAGCTGGCCTCTAGGGCAGAGGACCTGGGCCCTGGCTCCTTCAGGGAAGTGTCAGAGAAAAGACTCCCTCCCTCCTGGGTGATAGGGAGGGGTGGGCTGTGCATTGGACATGACATTAGAGGCCTAAACTGGACTTACTTTAGCAACACAAGTGCCCAGGATCTGCCAGCAGTGGGGTGTGTGTGTGTGTGTGTGTGTGTGTGTGGCAGGAAGGGAGAGCGGGCACCTGCTCATGAGGGCAGTTGGGCAGAGATCCAAAGCACTTCACATTTATACCTCACTGAGCTTTGTGTACCACGTGTGGGAATCTGATGCAGGGAACCCCTGTCCATGGGGGAGGGTAGGGAGGAATCTGTGCGGGACACTCCAAGCAGTTTCCCTTTCAGCAAGGGTACCGTCACGGGGATTTTCCTTTTCATGCTGTTGGAGTAGCCCTGAATTCCAACTGATATGCTTTTATCATTTTCCAAAACTATTCTTGAATTCAAACTTACACTGAGATCAGCAGTTACTTTTCTGTAAAGGAAACTGTAGGACCTTGGAGGGGTGGGACAGGGTCCATCCTGCTTATCTTTAATGCCCCATCTTTCTGACTATTTAGGTGGTTCAAATGTGT